TGAGCATTTTATGTCGCGATGTAAGAAACCAATCGAATGACAATATTCCAACCCGGAAATTAGCTGTTTCATAAGCGAGGCAATCTGATCATCCGTGAACTCCACAAACTGGCTTTCCAGGATGCCCATTAAATCGTGATCAAGGTACTCGAATACCAAATAGAAGGCCCCTGCAATCGCACTTGTTTAAAATCCTGTTGCTAAAATAATGTAAATTACAAAAAACTGCGAGGGAATGGTCCCCCCCTCCCCCTCTCCCCTCCTCCCCCCCACCTCTCCTTCTCCCTTTATGTATTGATCAGCTCCGAAAAAGCCATGGCCGAAAGTCAGTGAATTATGATTCTATCGGTTTTACAGGCCGATCGGGCAGTTCAAAAGGTCCGCAGATAGCCTGAGTAATGTCGCTAGGCCTTTGTTACGACGCTAACAAACTTCGGCTTTGTTACCACGCTGATAGTGACTTACAGCTTCTTCCCACCATATAAGATTCTGGTATTAAATGTAATGCATATATGTACGTATATGTGTATATATTACATATATGCATGCATATATATAATGAGCCCTCGAACTTCAAAAAAAGGTTTTATCCTACTGCGATCCGGCGGCGACTTTCTCCCGAGTAACGTCGACTGCAGCTAGTGCAACTCCTTCGACTTATACTGCAAATGCGGAAGAAATGTTTCGAAGTTTTAATCATACACCGACCCACGTCTGCCCCGCTTTATTATACGATTAAGAAAACTCGACACACATGGTTCTACTACCAAAAAAAATGAAGTTTCTAAAAACAAACAATGGAAATGTACCTTTATCTTTCCGGAAATCAGCAGCTGTTTGCTTATCAGTAACAATATCTATCAATCTTACAACATTCTTATGATTCAGCTGACGAAGTATCTTGATTTCACGAACGGCCGTTATTGGAAAACCTTCTTTCTCATTCTCCAGTCGCACTTTTTTGAGTGCAACAACCTCATCTGAAACAGTGCATTCTTTTTTTAAAAAAAAAACGTCATTCTAAGTGGAAGAAAAAATCACAAATTCATCCAAACAGCGTCCGATCGGCAGTATCGAGATACCAGGACACACCCAAAAATCAAGTGAAGCTAGGCTACAGACGTCTATGCTGAACTATGGTAACTGGATTCTGGAGCAGCTCTTAAAATTCATACTCTGAATCTAAATGCAATTTTTCCATCGGCTACTGTTATTCGGCTGGCGAAATAGCCTAAGAATTCCCCGATATTCTTCTAACACATCATTCCACTTTTCTAGTATCTATGCACCATTCAACATTTGTTTCGTCCATCTGTTATCTGTCACCGCTGTCACAATATCAGTCCAGCTTCTCTTTTTCCCTCTGTTATTGGGGTTAAAACTAGTAAATCCATATAAATTATGCTAACTGAGTAATATGTAATAAACCTACTTGTGAATTTATCTTGAGCTTTATACACCTGTCCGTATGTACCTTCACCCACTTGCGTTTTAATTTCATACTTCTCCACTGTTGAGCAGCCCCAGTTCTCGGGATCTTCTCGTAGCTTCAGGCGTTTGTTCAAAACACTGCAAAACAGTTCCATGCAAGTTAATTCAACAATGTTAAAAACCACTAAAATGAACCAGTCATTCTATGTTAAATTTCGAATCAAAATCCCTTCATGAATTCATCTGCAACGAAAGATCGCATAAACTTTAAAAGGCCAATGTGATATCACCTTACAGCAGAAACTACCCAGTGGCAGATACTGAATTTGGGTTTCTGCTAGATAAAATCGAAGGCAATTTCTTACTCTTACATGCAACAGCACTAATTTACCATCAAAACAAATCAATAAATCGTCGAAGGCCCGGTTCTGCCATGCACAAAACCAAACCAATGAATAAATCGTGTTAAATTTGACGCCAGTTACTTTTGCACAAAGCCAAAAGTCAAAATTCCTATCCAATTCATTTTTTCTTTCCAATAAACCTCTCCACAGCAATGGGAATAACTAATAATAAAGCGATTCTTCTTCAGTAAATTCTTCCAGACGCCAAATCGAACAAATTATGCAGAGTTTTAAAACCTCAGAAACAACTCAACACGTAGCAAATGTCAACAGCAATTAAAAGTTGGCAAAGATTTTGTCAACAGCTTCCATTCAATCGTTTTTCATAAATTCGCCAATTTTTTAAAACCCTGCATAAAATTTTTCGTCCATCTTTTGGTGCACATCAGTAAGCACAGGATGCCGTCAATTAGTTCTTGAAAAATCTACACGACATGCAATTCGGGGACGTTTTTAAACTGCAAAATAGTACAATGCAAAAAAAAAAAAATGAACTAACAGGGGTCGTATGGTTCGTTTGGCAGGAGGTAACGGTGGCGGGGCTGGTGGGGGTGCTACAGCAGGCATGGATGATGTGCTTGGATGAGCGGTGAGATGAGTGGCTACTGGATTTGGATTTGGTGTGTCCGGTGGCGCAGGTGGCGGAGGCTGGGAAGGCTGCAAAGGTAACCGAGGTGGGGGTGGCAGTGGCATTGCTGACGGCATCGGTGGTAATGGTGGAGGGGGCAGGATTGGATTCGGTGCTAGTGGAGGTGGCGGGATCGGCGGGGGCTGCGTATACGGCGGTGGGGGAATTGAATATGCTGACATCTGAAAACAAAAAAACATTGGCATCTTTGTTATTCATTTCACAAACTGATCATCTTTTGTTTTATTCAAGTGCAGCATCTTAACCTCATCAATGCAACTCGCAATCTTTTCACGATCACTCATGACGAATCAGTTGTTTAATACTAAAGGTATTACATTCTCTTCACCGTCTTTATAACAGTTCAACAGCGATCATCTTATGTTGCGCTCTAAGGACCATTCATTAACTGCAGAAGTTCTCAATCCAAAACAAACTCTGGATGAACCTAGATTAAGTTAGCGACCACACAGTCCTTCAGGAATTCGACAAAAAAGTTCATCCAACACCATTTTCCGTACTAAATAGCAGGCTGCGATTTTAAGCGAAAAAAAAAGTACGGCCACCAATTCAGTGGAAGGGTCCGCCCAAACGATTCTGTGGGATTATGTGGAAGCAGAAAGTAAAGAAAACTGGAGAATTAGCTTGCTGCATCAATGACGAGAAGGAAAGAAAGCAGCAATGAAACAATGGCTGATCAAAACATTCAATTTTCTCACTTAGTATTTTCACACTTCAGCCATACAGTGCAGAAAATAAGCCGATAATTCAAATTGGAAGAGTGGCATAAAAATACCTGGCCAGCATAATTGTACTGCGCAGTATAGGCCGACATGGCTGCCTGATATGCATTCGGATCCATGCTAACCGGTGCGGGTGGTGGAGGGATGAAAGTGGGTGCTGGTGATGTATAAGATGGTGCTGCTACTGCTGGAGGTGGAACACTGGCTGGAATGACCGGGATTGGCGGAGGTGGCGGTGGTGGTACCACCACTAATGATGTCTGCAATAGAAAGCCAGTCACACATTATCGGTAAAAAACTGAAAAGCACTTCATTTTATGCCAAACAATCAATGTTTTATATCGTTTCTTTCAAGAAGGATATAAGCACATCCCGTGCTTTTTGTTGCACCATGATTCCCTCCTAGGTAGGTCATGATATAATGGCACGAAGCGGCCTATACAAGGCCGCTGTGTCAGTGTTGGAAGATGCTAATCCAGTGTGGTGTTGTGGTATTGTGGAGGCGACCCAGATGACTCACGAAGGACGTGGATCCTACTACTCCGAACTATAGCTGGGGATTCCACGACCCAACTCGACAAGCCCGAGCACTTGGGCAGCCGACGAGCTGCTTAATCACCAACCCAACACTTTTGTTAAATTCAGAACACAGCAGAAGATTAATGCACTAATTTACAATGCTTCTGATGGTGATGTCACACGGAGCGAGTACCAACAGCACCAGTAAAATTAATAAGAGACCGAGCAAGGGGAAAGTTTCTAAGCAAATCATTCCATACTTTTATTATAAATGCTTTTGTGCATTGCTATAGCTTTGACACCTAATGTGATTGAATTCACAATGCGAGAAAAGTTAGCAACGCAAATGTGTGTTTCAATACATCTCACGTAAGCTGCAGCAATGATCCTGCAAGGGATATTGGCGGATCCAAGGGGAGAGGGTCTTTCCCTCTCCCCTTCCCCCAGAGCTCAGGTAGCAGCTGTTTTACTACAG